ATCGCTAGATCGCTAGTAGGTTGGAGGCCATCGCTAGTAGGTTGGAGGCCATCGCTAGATCGCTAGTAGGTTGGAGGCCATCGCTAGTAGGTTGGAGAGGTTGAAGTAGGTTAATCTTTTCCAAAACAGATCCATTGATCTGGACGCAGACACGGGCCTTGGGACGAGACGGGACGGCCGGACTACCGGTCGAGCGAACTTGCGTGCAGCTCGTTTGATGGGCGCCGCCCAAGGCTGATCTGTCCGAGTGCCGACGCAGTTGGTCTAAATAGGCCCAGAAGGTAGGAGCTTGCAGTAGCTGCAGCTCCCACCGACTATCGTGATGATCTTTAGTTCAGAAGCTCCCTGTGTTGTTTAGACATATGGAAGTGGCGTGTGCCGACGTGGAATCCTTGAGGCAACGGCAACGGTGCCTTGAAGTGGAACGTGGACGGGACCATGAAGGAGTACTACTTACCTGGTGCCAACATCATCAATGCCGGGGATCTTGGAGTTTCCAATCGGTGCCGCTGAGGATGTTTTCCTGTGCCGCCTTCTGGTCGAAAGTGTTTGCAGTGGAAGGGAGGTGAGCCAAGGCTGTGAACGAACTGGCCGACGAATTGGTCGCTTCTTCCAACCACCTGATTGGACACCAGCTGGTAGTTGAACCCACGGGCAGAACTTTTCCATGTTCTTTTTTCCTGAGTTGTTTCTTGAGAGCTGAAGCCGCGAAGCCCACGCGAAAACCGCAGAGAGAAATGAGCTTGCTTCCAGGATGGCACCACTGTCCAATACGGCGTCAACAACAAGTGCCGGGCTCCTGTTTTCTTTTTTTTCTGCCATGGGAAAGAGACCAGTCTTGCGACCAGCTTGTGCCTCACATCAGCAAGCGAATGCACCAGTCGAAACGCAACGTCCACTGGCCTTGAAATTGCGTGATCGAACGGGGCCAAAGGGCCGAAGAGAGGAGCCGCTGTTCTGCGTCCAGGTACTACTTGATGAACCACGACACCACAGATTATCAAGATGCCAGCAACTTTGAGAAGCGGCTCATGTGCAGATTCGGCCATTTCATGTCTCAGTGTCAGAATTGGCAGATCAATCCCTGCAGAGGAGTCTTTTGTGCATACGTTTTTGCAGGGAAACACATGAGAACGCTGGTTGCGTCGTAGGCTTGGTCGCATCCAAGGTTGCAGGTGGCTGGGCAAACCCTGATCACCACCATCGCCTTGAACGGAACCTTGGCCGCGCCGAACTCGCGGCCAGCCGTTTTGGTCTCGACTCCGATGAAGCTGACGTGAGGAGCGAGCTGCGGCTGCAACGTGAACTTCTTTCTGGTGAACATGCCTGCAGAAACGCCGGGGCGCTTCAGCTCAAAATGGAGCTGTCGAGTTGGTCGATGTTTTTTTCGAAGAGCTGAACATGAGCAGATGGAGTGGAGTAGTCGAGGCCGAGGTGAAGAGCTAGTGAACAATAGCGAACATACATGCCAGGAGCCCCTAGTAGCTTCTTGCTCCTAGTAGTACGGCCAGGAGCCCCTAGTAGCGTTCTTGTTTCTAGTAGCGATGCCAGGAGATGCTAGTAGCGTCCGATCGCTCCTAGTAGCGATGCCCTTTGTTCCTAGTAGCGTCCTCAAACCACCTTCTTTCCGGATCCTGGATTCTGGGCACAAGCAAGCTTTGTGCACTTGTGCGAAATCGAAACCTGCTTAAAAGCTGACGATGGAAAAGACGACATTGCCTTTGAATACTGTAGAAGGCCGCTTTTGAAGGCACTTGCACAGCTTTTTGACAAGGGCACCCAGTCACAAGTCAGATTGATCAATGAGGAAACCAGTTCATAGAAGCATGACACTTATTTAAATTCTATTTATACTAGCTTCTTGTTCCTGGTGGTAAGGCCCTTGCTCCTAGTAGCGATGCCCTTTGCTCCTATGAACACGCCAAAGTCGCATGGATTGTCCAGTTCACCCAGGAGTGGAGCGCAAGATGTCAAGAACCCTCCAGGTCGCAGTTGTTAGAAGTCCACACCTGCCACACTGGGTCACCAATCGCGAATGCACCGGTCAGTTGTGAAACCAGGTCGCACTTCGCAGACCGCTGCAATACACAATACACCTCAACAAAAACTTCATCCGCATCGTGGGCGTGAAACACGACGCCATCACGCATCATTTGACAAACACAAACAACGCTTCTTCATCACACAAACATTCCCCACTGGCCTTGCCGGAAATCGTTTGCCTGGTAGGTGTTTGTAGAACCCAATGTCCGAAGTCCGAAGCCTATTTTGGTGCAAAGTCGAGCCCAGCGGCCCAGGGAGTATGGTGACTACTACTGCGATGCCAACTGTGTTGGCGGAAATTGCTGTGCAGAGTTTGACCTTGCTGTAGCTTGGACGACGCGAGCCGGCACGCGGTAGATATTGTCATGGAAAGGGGAAGGCAGTCTGGGAAAGTTGGTGCTTGGCAAATTGATCCTCATGTGACCGCTCTTCTTGAGCGTGTGATGTGAGATACGTGTTTGTGCCCAGGAGATGAACAATCAAGCCTTGCAAATTACGAATCACAACTGCTACTTGGTGCAAGCCTTGTGCGAACCAGTGCTCCGAACCGAGTGCTCCGCACGTTTTTTCTACTTTTGTGTCTTCGAGCGGGATGCGCTGACCCCCATAACCAACGACATAATATCGTCCATGAGATCCCTGTGGTGCTGTCTTGTAGCCAACTGTGAGGGTGCGAAGAAGATTTGATTATATACATGTTGCTGAGAATTGGCTAGGTCAATGCAAGGTTTTCATGGAGTAGTTCTTTCTTGGGAAGGACAGAGTCATCAGCTCAACCGGATTTGCCACGCCTGTTTTCTTTTTTTAACCCTTGTGTCTGTAACACACGTATTCAGGAAGCAGCAACAAACCATCGCTTAAAAGAAGCCCCTTGTTCGGAGGCACCTTCGCTCATGCATATGCTCCAAGCATGGCGCTTCATGACTAGGCTATGGGTACCCCACCAAGAGCAGCTGTGATGGCAATGGTCTCTCAGCTGCAGTGCTCTCAGACCCTGGCAGTTCTGCTCCCCCCAGAACTCGTGGCTCAAATGCCAAGGACCATTTTTCGCAAAGCCATATCACCATTTGGGAATTGAGCCACGAGTCTTTTCATCGCTACTAGGAGCAAGGACGCTACTAGGGCCTCCTGGCCCTACTAGGAGCAAGGAAGCTACTAGGGGCTCAAGGAAGCTACTAGGGCTAGGGGCTCCTGGCATCGCTACTAGGAGCAAGGATGCTACTAGGGGCTCCTGGCCCTACTACTAGGAGCAAGGAAGCTACTAGGGGCTCCTGGCCCTACTACTAGGAACAGGAAGCTAGGGGCTCCTGGCATCGCTACTAGGAGCAAGGATGCTACTAGGGGCTCCTGGCATCGCTACTAGGAACAGGAAGCTATTGGGTTGGAGGCCACAAGAACTTCACACTTGTCTTCGATGCTCACTCCCGCGCCCGTGTGCCCCGAGCTTGGCCCGGTCGGAACAGAACTGATCCGAATACAACTGATCACAGACCTCGTGAGTGTCCAGACGTCAGAGAACTCGTCTTTGACGCCAAGCGGTTGCCAGGGGGCCAGGAGTGTTGCTTCCTCAAGCATCCCGGTTTCGTTTCGAGCCTTTGCCGAGCAAAGATTCCTTATCCACTCGTGTGCCGAGGGAGGGTCGGAGTACAGAGGGAGTGTCACCAACACCGCGATTTCGCGAGCGGGTTATTTCAATGTCGCGATTTCTTCACACTGAAATTTTCACAAAGATATCGATTGCGGCAATTGCGGCGCGTCTTTTTTCCGCCTCTATTTCCGGCTTGGCGCCCCCGTGTTGGAGCCGTCTTGCCGAAAAGCGCTGAAAGCCCAGGTGATCCCGTGATGAGGTTTGTCCCTCCAGAGTTTGGGCCTGGTAGTGGCTCAATTCGGAAAGCCTTGCACATGGGGGAAGCCTGGGGAAGCTGGGGAAGGAAGATGACGAGATTTGGAGGAACCTCTGGTCCAGATGAGGGTTTCAAAAGGTATGATTTATTAGGGGTACGTCGACCTAGCATTATGAAGTTTAAAGAACAGAGCCGTTGGATGAACTTGTTGAAGTCTAGAGTTCTTAGTGGGAGTGAACAACCTTGTTCGCGCAATGCTTCGGCCTTTTGACCGAGCACTTGTAGTATCCAACAGGAATTACAAGACAATGCCAACGCCAAATCATCAGCATGTGAACAGCATCATCAATACAAAGTTACTACTAGTAAGGCACTTGTTACTACTAGTAAGGCACTTGTTACTACTAGCTTCTTGTTACTACTAGTAAGGCAACTGTTACTACTACTACTACTACTACTACTACTACTACTACTACTACTACTACTACTACTACTACTAGTAAGGCACTTGTTTCTACTAGCGTTTAAACAATGAATCATGAAGCTTCAAGTGCCGGACGTGCGGGTGGGGTCCATGAGGTCTGTCGCAAGATCAGCGTCAGATTGCCCGCTGTCTGAGGTGACACGATCGATACCACGCAGCCTTTCAATTACTCCCTCACCTTTCATCAGGCAGCGAAGCATGAAGTAGTTGGCCTGAAAAGCCGCAGCGAGTTTGTAACAGGTCCCTCACTCAGGTAGGACAACCTGAGTTTTTCTTTGAAGTCACAGACCGGCACTAGACCCGTTGCATGTTCACCCTCGAGAGCCACCCACACCCTGACGATGCACTTTGGACTGAAGAAAGCTCGACTGCCAGAATATCTACGGCGATGGTGACCCGAACAACAACCTTGTGGCCTATGCGAGAGTTTGGCAACATGTCACAAGTCCGCACTCGGGCTTTGGATGTTGACATGTTTGCAGCATGTTGGGCTCGTTTTTTTGGTACATCTCCATTTGAGCGGCCAGCAGCTAGTCACTCTATGATGTGATTTGTGTGTTTCCTCTTCGGGCTTCTCGTCGGAAGGTTCTTGCCGGTCTGGTCAGGACACAGCTGTGGTGAAGTCCTTTGGCGGCCAGGGCAGTGCGCTCAATAGCCAATGGCGCAGCTTGGTCGATGTGACATGGAAGACCTGAGTTGGAGAAATACGACCTGGTTTTTGAGCCAGTAATTGTGCGAGTCTTGTGACATGGAAACGGACATTTCTTTCTCACCAATGTATGTTTTGCTCAGAACCTTTCCACAGAAGATGCTGAGTACCGAACTGTTCAATTCCTTCACACCAATGCCAGATCATTTACGACGAGAGGTGTCAGTTCTGGTTCAAACGGTCTTTCTAAATTAGGATTCGATGTGAAGAAGCGGCTTTTGACCGCCTTGAGACGTCGTCATCTTTTAGGACACCACAGACCCCAGAAATAACTCGGGTCAAAACGGGTGGGAGACACATGAACCGCGGACACCACGTCTTTCTTTTTTCCCGCAGAAAACTTGGCGGACGGCATGGTCTTGGTGGTGGACTACTGGGAGTCCGGCGCCTGGGCGACAAAAAATCTGAAGGAAGCGCATGCTGGGCCTTCGTCCAGGGTCTTCGGTTCTCTAGATTCTCTCCTGCCAGCCTTTTCGCCTTTTCCTTTTGTTTTGTTCTGTTACAATGTCCAATATTGGAATGTGTCCCACAAATACAACTTTTCGCAAGACGTGTCCTCTTCATACCCGAGCTCGAAGTATGTACTGTGCACAGCGATCCTTGATGAAGACATGAAAGACGCTCCATGGCCACCATGGCCCAGTGAAAGTGTAGACATAACGATTCCATCGCTACTAGGGTGGAGGCCATGGCTACTAGGGTGGAGGCCATCGCTATTGGGTTGGAGGCCAGTGCTACTAGGGTGGAGGCCATCGTTTTTAGGTTAGAGGCCATCGCTACTATATAGGGTGGAGGCCATCGCTATTAGGTTGGATGCCATCGTTACTAGGGTGAACGCCATCGTTATTAGGTTGGAGGCCATCGCTACTATAGGGTGGAGGCCATCGCTATTAGGTTGGATGCCATCGCTACTAGGGTGGAGGCCACCGCTTTTAGGTTGGAGGCCATCGCTACTAGGGTGGAGGCCATCACTAGTAGGTTTGAGGCCATCGCTAGTAAGTTGGAGGCCATCGCTATTAGGCTGGAGGCCATCGCTACTAGGGTGGATGCCATCGCTAATTAGGTTGGAGGCCATCGCTACTAGGGTGGATGCCACCGCTAATTAGGTTGGAGGCCATCGCTACTAGGGTGGAGGCCATGGCTATTAGGTTGGAGGCCATTGCTACTAGGGTGGAGACCATCATTTTTAGGTTGAAGGCCATCGCTACTAGGGTGGATGCCACCGCTAATTAGGTTGGAGGCCATCGCTACTAGGGTGGAGGCCATCGCTATTAGGTTGGAGGCCATTGCTACTAGGGTGGAGACTATCATTTTTAGGTTGAAGGCCATCGCTACTAGGGTGGAGGCCATCGCTATTAGGTCGGTACTAGGGTTGGAGGGTGTCGCTACTAGGGTGGAGGTTTGGTTGGATGACAAGAAGCTACCGGGTGGGAGAAACTTCTGGGTGCTGAGGGAGTATGCAGTGGCTCGATGGTACTGGATGTGGATATGGATACGAAGAGCAATGTGCCTTGGCACCAAGGAAGGGACTTGTCAGATTTTGTTTCTTGTTGTCCCTTTGATCCGCGCGACGCGAAGTAAAGAGATCTTGAAATGGATGCAAGTTTGCCCATCCTGAAGGAGAATCGATGGTCTCTCGGATTCTGCGCCAGATCTTGCGCCGGAATGGGAACCGTTCAGAACCGCTCCGCCGTGCAGAAGACTACGCTTCGCCCAGGTGGTGGTGAATTGGCAGACGTGGGAAACTGGAAGCTGATCTCCAACGCCACTGGGCAGTCCTTGGGGACGAAAACAAACAGCTGTCAACGAAGTTTTACATCAAGCTTTTGCCTTTTCTGTTTTTTCTCGAAGCCTTCTGAATACTAGTTCTTATTTTGGTGGGCACTTCTCTTTTAGCCTCTCAGCCGCCAGCCAGCCGTCAGCCAGCCCCCACATACGTTGCACTTTCCAGTGGACATGATTCCGTTTTAAGGGTTTTTCAATGTGTGGTCGAAAGCGGACACAGCTGGCCGTCCTGGTATCGGTCGACGGAGAGAATGCAGTTTCGAGCCAGACAGCATCAAGTGAGATCAGGTTGTTCCTCTGGTTCCTCTACAGAATGCTCCCCAATTCAAATGTTGCTACAGTGTGTTGGAGAAAAAACAACAACATGCAAAACTTGAACGGAAGCAAGTGCCGCCTACCTGCAAAAGGTACAGATGTTGTTGTTGAGTATCAGCTTGATTTGCTATCATTTTGTAGTAATGTCATGTTGCATCCAAATTGGTACAATGGGACGAAAAAGTAACTTCTTTTTCGCTAAACTATTCCAACACCCTGAATAGTTGAGGGAATAATACATGTCTTTTTCACCCAGGGTGTTCTTTTTTTGGGTTTCGTTTACCTTTCTATTGTTCTGTCATTGCTCCCTCTTCAACATCCTTACTTAACTCTCCTGAGGTTTGCTTGATTCATGGAATTCCGACCTGGACATCGGTTTCAAAAACGCTTATTAAAACTCAACGATTTCATTGCTCAAAACAATTTTTCAAGGGGGTAGTACACCAGCCCAGGGGAAGTGAATAACATCAATTGTTGGGCCCTAAGGGAAAAAAGAGTAGCTTTTCTTAGTTCTGCCATTGTTGCCCTTTCAAATCGTTACTTGACTCTTATACTACTACGACTACTAGTACTACTAGTACTACTAGTACTACTACTGCTACTACTACTCCTACTCCTACTCCTACTGCTACTACTACTACTGCTACTACTACTACTGCTACTGCTACTGCTACTCCTACTACTACTACTACTACTACTACTAGTACTACGACTACCACTACCACTACCACTACCACTACGACTACCACGACGACGACGACGTCTACTACTGCTACTGCAACTGCTACTGCTACGAATACTAATGGTGTTTGGGGCGGGGATTCTATTCATACTTCCTCGATTGTTTGCTAGGAGGGGGGACCCGTTTTGCTAGTTATAACCGTAGCTGTGTGTTCGTTTCCTTCTAGCTATATAATCTTTACAACATCCAAGTGAGAGACAGTGATATGGTAGGCTGCTGTAACCAATTGTTTGAACGCATATTTGCATCCAAACTGCGCACCATGATTGGCAGCGATTGGTTTGGTTTTGTTCACAGGTTGAGCGACTTTCCGAGGATCAGGAAGATGCTGCAGATTGCCCAAGCCAGGGCAGTTGCAAGTGTGCCCCATGGCGGCAAGCTTATCAGCTAGTAGGTTGGAGGCCATTGCTAGTGGGTTGGAGGCCATCGCTAGTAGTTAAGGGTGCTGAAAACACCAATCGGATGTTTTGACTCTCCACGCATTGGTGTTGGTTTTCTCAACAAACATCAGTGTTGGTTTTCTCAACAAACATCAGTGAACTGAAGAGGATTTGTTGTTTGTGCCTGTGCCTAGGTGTGTACTCATGGGTGAAGACAGCTTGAAAGTGTTCTCCCACAAGACACATAAATGGTGGGTTTCCTAGAGGCCTGGATGTCCGTGCTGCCAACCCTATCGCAAGCTGCGAGAAACCAAATGGTGACACCATGACAAACCACAGCACCTCATTAGGTTGGAGGCCATCGCTATTAGGAGCAAGGACGCTACTAGGGGCTCCTGGCCTTCCTACTAGGAACAAGAAGCTACTAGGGGCTCCTGGCATCGCTACTAGGAGCAAGGACGCTAGTAGGTTGGAGGCCATCGCTTGGCACTGCTCGCCTCAGGACTGGTTCAACCCGGACACGATGGCCACCGCCGATGATGGCCTGGGGAGTCCGGAACGGTCGGGAACGGTCGGGCAGATCCCGAGAACGGCTCCCGGGTTTTGTGCAACCTTTAATCATTCATACTCCATGCCACTTGCCAGGACAGGAATTTAGATCCGGAAGAACTTTACTTTCTTACAGTCCATGATCGACTGATCAACCCATAAGCCCCATGTGGCCAAGTCATCAGGCTTTCCTCTCGCGTTTCATTTGCCTCCAACACGATCTCTTCTCATGCGAGTCCATGCTAGTGTACTTTTGCGAGACTGTTTCGGGCGGTTGTTTGCACAGGCTCCGAATGTTGGTGCCGTTGTGGCGGCTGCAAAGTGTCGCCTTTGGTGCCGACACATGGCTGGTATGGTTGACGACTGGCCGGCGAATGGCCGACGAATGGCGTTCATGTGGCTTGAAAACACGCGGATTTGACGCGTTGGTCCAAAGAAGGGTTTGGCGAGACATCTCAGGAGATGCTCTTGGTCGGGATACACTCCTTCCTGGGCGACAGGGGCAGCACCGGCCGGCGCTGGCGCAGCTCCAGCGCCGGCGCCACCTGCCACCACGGCCGACACAGCCACCACCATTGCGTGCAAGGTTGGAGACACGGCTCCTCGACCAAAGACCAAGGAAAGCTAGTTGCCATTCGCCTAGAAGGATCGAGGGTCGACCCACAAACACAAAATGAGGGAGCAGGAAGCTCTCCTTTTTGACATGGACATTGAAAGAAAGAGTCATCATAGCACTGTCTGTGTCATTCCTGAGCACCTGGAAGTTTCAGGTGACATGTCCGAATTCTACTGCGGAGTGTGCCTTCTGCTTAGTGTGCCAGATGAGGACAACGTCCCAGACATTTCAATGATTTCAAGACTTGGATGGTTACAATGCTAGACTTTGGGTCTGTCCTATTACCTGTAACGGTTGGTAAGCAATTATCACTACATTATGTATATATTGTGAACATGTTTCAAGGTAGACCATAGTACAGAAGTACAGCATTTCTCACATCATGAGACCTGTTGCAACCCTTTTGGATTAAAGAAAAAAGTTCGCATGGTAGCGGAGCAGGGATAAGGGTAGCCCGCTTTGAGCTCCAGAGAAAAGCACCTAGGTCACGGAGATCCCAGGTGCGATTTCGAGCCATAGATTTGGGGCTTTTGGAACCCAAATAGCTGGACTGGTGACAAATTGTTGTGAGCTGCACCCCGTACATTGTGTCATGGAGGAGGTCAAAAGAGATTCCTCAATATCATAGCGCAGAGTACGCCAGCAACAACATCAGCAGCTGAGGCAGTAAAGAAAGCAGTTGAAGACAAGAAGCCATCAACAACTGATTGGTCAAAGCTGATAGCAAGGCCCAACATCTTTGACTACAAGTCACAAGAAGAAGAGATCAACGCATTCAGAGAGTGGTCATGGGTATTTGAGAAATATTTGAGCTCAGTGGATGAGGCTCATATGAAGGACTTGAAAGAGGTTCATGACAAGCCAAAGGAGAAATTTGACATGGACTTGGCAACTGGAGAAGACAAGTCCAGGTGCATCAAGCTCTATGGATTGTTTGCTTCATTGATGAGGGGAAGAGCACTGCAATTGGTGAAAGCTGTGGAGGACTCCAATGGATTGAACAAAGCTTTGAAGCCTACTTCGAAGGCTAGGGGATAAGCAAGCCGCTACATGGCCAGCATTTTCAATGAGCAGTGCACTAGAACCTCAACTTCTCAAACCATACTTGGATTTGACAATTGGCGACAATGTTCAATACTCAACTTTGAGGGAGCACGTGTTGCAGTGGGGTCCTTTTCAGCAGAAATGGGCTACTTCCATGGTGGCAAGTAGCAGTACAGACTATCAAGGACCCATGCCAATGGACATTGATCGAGTAGATGGCTTGATATTCACAGGTTGTCCAAAGTACATCAATGAAATCTTTCTTCCAAAGATCCAAGACAGGGTTGGTGATGAGTTTAACTTCCTGAGGAGAACGCGCAAACTAGAGAAAGGTGGACCATGGATCCAGCCAGGTAACTACATCCAGCAGATGCTGAAAGCCTATGAAGAGCAGATTTGGAAGGTCAAACTCCAGCAACTACCATCAGACAATTCAATTCAGATGGAAGACAAATCAGAAGTCTTGCATGAGCAAGGAAAGGTTAGCCTATTCAGAAGCATTGTTGGATCAGGTATCTACCATGTCAAGAGAGGTATGATGTAGCAATTACACTGAAAGAATTGGCTTCAAGAATGTCAAACCCAACAGCTATGTCATTTCACGGCTTGAAGAAATTTCTAGGGTGCTTGAAGAAGACTTTAGACTATTGTCTAGTAGTTGAATTTTCACACGCAGGAGAAGGCAATGTGAAGAAGGGAGAAAGCTATGAAAACAACCAGTGTGGATTGGAGGAAGGAGAATCCAATGGAAGGTGGAAAGCTGTGATCATTGTGATCATCATGATCATTATCATGGGTTTTGCAGCAGTGGCCTTTGCAATGTGGAAGCTCTACAAGTATGTCGAAAGGCGGATTGAAGAAAACCAATTGCATTTGATGAGTACTCTTGGTGACAGAGTTGATGGAGCAGAGATGAAAAAATAGTCGAGATTGAATGGATGTTTGACCAGGTGGAAGGTGATAAAGAAAGGATGGACAAGCTGCATGACTACGCCAGAAGAATTCATAGTGGATTGACTTTCAATGGAGGCTTGGTAGAACAAGAAGGGCCAAACACTCTTGAGAGAGGTAGCTATGACATTATGGGTGAGATGAACGCAGCAAATTTCTTAGCAAGCAGGAGCTTGGAAGACATGAGAACAAAGGTGATGTTGAAAGCAGCCTTAGAAGGAGCAGTTCCCACAGAAGGGCACTTGACAAGAAGGTTCAAGCCAGGAAATAGGGAACAAACAATCAGGGCAGAGTATGAGAAGGAAAAGGCAATACTAATGTGTGGTTGACTCTTGGAGAAGGTTGAGCAATTGAAAGAAAGACAAGAGACTTTGCTAGGAAGAGGAGAACATATGAGATAGATCGAGATGAAAGAATGCTTGAACTAGCAGAGATGAAAAGAGACCACCCAGAAAGTATGCAACCAGACATCTCCAGGAACCCCGTTCTTGAGAGGATACAAATCCCACCAGGAGAAGGACAGTAGAAATAGGGAGAACTATGCTGCGCCCACACCGCCAATAGTGTGAACATGTTGCGGTGTAGACCATAGTACAGATGTACGGCATTTCTGACATCCTGTTGCATCCCTTTTGGATTATATATATACATATATATGTTTTCTTAAATGTATATATTCTAGAGAAAGGCCTTTACTACAGTAACCATCATCATCCAGCTTTTCTGGTCGTAGGATAGACCCAAGGCTAGACGCAAGGCTAGACTCGTGAGAGTGAGAACAAGTTTGGGTTCAACGACATTTGATGACAAATGGTCTTCGTCGCTCACTTTCTTCAGGCAGGCAACCAGTGCTGTCCAAACGGTGATACGTGCCCCTCTGCCTCCTCGAACTTCACTGGCTGTGTCTCGAAGCAAGTTATGATTTGTTCGCTTTGACTACAAGGGTTTGAAAAAACACTGCAGCCTTGTCTAGCCAAGAAGGTTTTCAAGATGTGCTCTACTAACCGTTACTGGCCTTGGCACTTTGAAGATGTAGATTTCCCCAGACAGCGAGAACTGGTGGGGTTCTTGGTGGCTGTTTGTGCTTCGGAGCCTGGGTGCGAGTCTGCGTACTGCTGCCGTGGAAGGGTGCTGCATGGTGCTGCTGCCAGATGTTGATGTCAGTGTGCGCTTTGGAGCTTGGATGCCTATGCTGGCGTAACGTTCTCTCCAACAAAAGGCTGAAGGCCGCCAAAAGATTTCTCGAAACGCATTCTTGTTTCACAAGGTAGCTTTGGGAGACCTAGTGTCAAGAAGGCACTCTTGTTGGTAGAGAGGTATTGAGAGCGGATCAGGCCAGTTGCGGGAATTTGTCCTCCCGAACTCGCTGTACCCACTCTGCAGCCCCCAAGGCTCTAAGAAAAGACTCGCTACTTGCTCCGGCAGCTCCAGCACAGCAGCTCCCTCTCCAGCACCTGCTCCAGTAGCGTGATTGCGATTTTGACTTGCAACAATTAGATCGGTTACGGCTTCTAAACAGGGATTTTGGTGTCTTTCTGTGACAAACCTGCTGAGTACTCGGTACTCTTTCCAACAAAGGCTCCTTTGCTCGACTGCCAGGCTGGTGGGAGCTTCCGAGCGCATTCTTACAGAGTTCGAAAATGATATAACACATCCCATTGAAGTAGTGAACAAAAAGAACTTGGAACCAGTTGATGTTGGGCGACCGAGTCCAAGCAGACCGAACTGCTCCAGGGCGAGAGCTTCATCGATTGTTGGAACTTCTTTACTGCTCCAGATCCGACGGAAGGGGATGTGGTTTACGTGTCCAAGGACGAGGCCTTAGAACTCGGTCTTTACCAGGTCAACGATGGCGTCGTCCTTCTCAATAGCACGGTGGGTCAATGGACACCGGTGAAATCCATCCGTTTGGAGTCAAAGGAACGCTTCTCGGAGGGCCACCTCTTCTTGATTGATATCAAACATATGCCTGCCGGACTTGGTACCTGGCCAGCTTGGTGGTCTTACGGCCCTGATTGGCCGAATAACGGCGAGATTGATACCATTGAGACGGTGAATGTGGAGAACATCGTCCAAACGACTTTGCACACCAGCTATGGCTGCAACATGGACATTCCCGGCATCATTAATCCAGACTGCAACGCCGAATCTGGCCATGAGGGCTGTCAAGTGGAAGGACCCAACAACAGTGGAGGCGCCGCCTTCAATGATCAAGGCGGAGGTGTTTATGCGACCCAATGGACTTCTGAAGGCATTAAGATTTGGATGTGGCCGCGAAGCCAAATCCCACAGGATATCACGGCCGGCGAACCGGACTCCTTGACGTGGGGAGAGCCATATGTGTTTTTCCCTTTCGGTGCGAACTGTCCATCCACACACTTCCAAGACCAGGTCTTGACCATCAATACGGACTTCTGCGGGGATTGGGCCGGGGAAGTTTCTCCCTGGGATAGTAAGGCTGAGTGCGATGGCTTTGTTCAAGATCCCAACAACATTCCGAAGATCCAGGGCTATTGGCAGATCAACTATGTAAAGGTCTTTGCCGCCTAAGGCCGACGGAGCCTCACTTGGTCGATACAAAGGTCATCGGCGGGAGGTTGAACGTCTCAAGTTTTGACGGTGGTGGTGAGAAGGCGTCTTCAGAAGCAAGGCGCCTTTGGCCCCCGTTCGATAGTGCGGTCCATGGCTGAGGCTTGTTTTGATAAGGTCAGTCTAGAAACACGCCTTTGGAAGGAAGTCTCAGATATATAGTTACTATGAAATTGTTTCTTGCTTCTTTGTGGTGACAAAATGAGCCTATGAAGCCTGAACAAAGTTTCAACGTCTTTGGACCGTTCTTGGGCGATAGATTTTTATGTCGCTGGCGCAGAAACTTGCAGGTCCGTTCTTCGTAGCTAAACTGGTCTTGAGCACGCTACTAGTAGCTCCTGGCATCGCTACTAGGAGCAAGGACGCTACTAGGGGCTCCTGGCATCGCTACTAG